ATATAAAGCATTGATAGTTTTGTATCAGTTCAAAATATCTGTTTTTGACAGCTCTGAACTCATTCACTTTCTTTATGTCCCAAAAACTATCCCCCATTGCCTGCTATTAATGTCAGTTTAGTTATTTACAGTAATATCGCCCATTTAGCTAATGCTAAGTGGAAATTAGTGTTGCAAACTATTGTCTACTTCACTATATAGGGTATCAAATCAGTGTAAAATACTTGAATCTAAGACATTTCATACGAAAAAGCACAAATGAAACTAGAGTATCGTTAATTATTGGCTGTAATACACTTTATAGTTGAACAAAATGCTGATTATCTCAATCGTTACCAGTGCAATACTTTATCAGTCATGTGCTGCATTTTCATTGTTTGGATTTATTCAAAGAAACCAATGCGTAGGGGCAGTAGGACAGTTAATGTGTAATGGACGACCATCTCCTAATGTTACTGTAATATTATACGACGAAGACTGTTCGTTCAATTAAATATCATTTGTTCCACAGAAAAAAACAAATTTGGATTCAGAGTTTTGGGACATTAACCAGTCGAGAAAGTCAACATTTTCAAGTGTCAACTTTTTAAACTGGTTTTTGCTCAGTACATACTGCAATAATACTAATACCACCAACTATAGCTAACATGATATAATTGATCAGAATTTAAAAAGTTTTTTAATTCGGATTACAGTCTGAGAAACCCATATTTCAAGTTTTGCAATTTTTAAATAGTTTTAACTGTGTTGGGTTAATATCAATGAACCATTCATAAATTATTATATTCTATTATCTATGAATAATCCTTGAGCAAAAAAGGATTGCACCATTTCAGATTTAAGTAATAATGATTTGATGCAACTAGGACTTTCAAATGGAACTGGTCATTTTGCAATCTACGGCTGTGCACTTGATATGCCAGATATAGTTCCGAAAATACATATATATCATCACTGCAATGTGCAAGATCAAGTAACTCCATTTCTGTCTTTTATTTTGGCCAATTTTGACTGCAAATTTAGCAGTAAGAGCAAATTGTTCGACTGAATGCTTTCAAATTTCAGAAAAGCCCACTTTATTTGGAGATGTTTATACCTTATCGCTATATTGCTATAATACCAATACCACCAACTACAGATATAAGAGAGATAATAAAGACAAGTACATATGACTTCGATATCATAGATACGACATATAGATCTGGCATGGAACATAGCGTTCATTCACCACCTCCTGGTTATGGTAATAACATTAATCCAGTTACAACGTGAATTGTTAGCCGTTATATTTGAAAATTGAACTTAAAATTTTTAAAATAAAATTAGTATATTATTGCACATAAACTTTGCTACAACATTGTATTATGCTCAATTATTATAATTACTATTTTTTTTGCTGAAATAGTGCTCCCCAAAGGATATATAGGTATTTACCGAAATTCATGGACGGAGCATAACTTTTGCTGTAGTCAAATTTATTAAGAATAAATCTGAAATTCCGAAACATTAATGCAATACGGAAATATGATGTTGAGCATCAGTTTAACTAGTATTTAAATTTCACGATTGCGATCATAAGCTACACGTTAGTTTCACTACCATCGCTTCACTAAAAGTTCTATACGTCATCGTTTGAGCTTACTGTTACTAAACAGATTAAGCACACACCTATAAGCTTTTCCATAACCAACACACAAGCATGCTATTACGTATACACAGGCATGAACCAAGTAAGCACATACAAAAATATCACGTAAAGATACGTGAAGGTATATTTACAAAATGGTGATCGCATGCCTACACGCACAGGAATACATATACAAGTATACACACAAGAATTCACTGAGAAAGAGAAAGCACTTTAGAAAGCACACAAGAAGACATCAGAAACGCGCATGAGAACATAGAAAAAACAAAAAAAAAACACATAGGAACATTGACACGTACGCGAAATAAACAGAAATAGAAAAATATGCACGCAATATAGCAAAGTTCACATCATAAAAGTTAAAGATGATGTGTGACACTTATATGTGGCAAGTAACAAAGATAAGAAAATCTGAAAGCACAGCTTCTTTCACACTTTTCATCGCATACTCCATAAAACATTTTGTCCCTTCCGTATCATAAGAAAACTACTTGGCCATTAGCTCATCGAACAAAACAGAAACACGATGCACGTTAATCAAAAGCAAAAGCAAAAGCAAAACAAACATTTAAAAAATGATTTTCATGAAACATAAGAAACAAATCATAAAACGTATGCAAATACGAATTTTGGTTGTAAATTCAGTATTAACAGCTAAATACTTCACTGAATTGGATACTGTTAAATTTCACTTCTGTACAGTAGTTTTAATGAGGTATGTATCATAGCTTTATGTAACGGAGTGTTAAGCTCAAATCAATTGACCATTTCCTATTGAGCCAGAAGGGCTTACACATTATTCTGAAATCATAGATGTGGCACGCAGATCTGGCATAGAGCATTGCAGTTGTATGCATTTGCCATTATTAGTTGATATATTGCAATTAATTTTATGAGATGCTAAATTTAAATGTTGAATTCGAATTTTAATTATCACAATGCTAATGCATTAGCTTTGCTGTGATATTATTTGTTCTTTCAGTTTTACGATTTTAAATATGACTAATAATAAAGATGATCAAAAGAAGCAAAAGTCAAGTGCTACCAGTGATTGAATATTTAATACTTTTGTTTTGAACAAATTTGGAAACTATTGAACTGTAATAGTTCTGCCAAATTTGAAAAGTAATTAAACGTTATTTCAAATTCCAATCATTCAATCTCAAAATTGCTTTACAATATTAGCAAGTGTTTAAATAGCAGTTCATTATTATTTAATGAAAATGAAAATGATCCTTACCTCATGGATTCTAAACACTCACTTATTATTTCATGAATTACCCTTTAATGAAGATTCACTGATATGTTGATTCTAAATGTAATGATAATATAATGACTAAAAAAATGGAGAAGTGCTTGAAATATAATAGTCTGTTTTGAATGCTATTAGACCCTTTAAGTCAAGGATTAGATAATTAACATAAAAAAATAATCGAAAAGAAATTATTTCAAACAAGTAAATATTTGACTTTTTTTTTTCAATAAACAGAGCACAAGTATTGGCAAAGTAATTGATTTATGAGTTTAAAAATTTTTTGATACACTACTCCTGCTCTGATGATTTGCATTCAACATCCGTTAGAATGAAGCTATTAATTTTATATACATGAAAAATAGACCATAAATTCGCTGTAAGATTATGAATTTTGTAGCATTATACCTACAAACATTTCGTGATTAAGCAGTTCTATTTGCAGCACTGATAGATCATCAATATTTGTCATTTTCTCCAAACTTAGTCACGACACAATGACCTCCTGATCATATCAGAACTTTATTTACAGTAATACTTTGTAAAAAGTAACTATTTTTCCTTCACTTACTTCAAGGAGTGATTGCTTTTTCTAAATAACGAGTTTTAAAACACTTGAATGCTTTTATTTTTTTTACTTTCATAAAGATTTACTTGGTTATATATATTTTGAATGAATATATAAGCAAATAAACTTTTATAAATGAAATTTTTTTAAATACATCTCTCCTGAATAAAAGTGTGAGAGGTAAGAAAACACTAATAGCATTTTTAGTACTTTTCAGCAAAGTTATAATTTTTCTACAGCGTTAGATTTTGGACTGATCTAATTGACGAATTTTTCCTCTTGCAAGTTGTATTTTTTTGATCCACAGCTTGAGTATTTAACTTATGTATTCTGCAATTTTTGTTTTGTATAACACAGTTGTTTAATTAATTTGGCAGCTTTGCAAGGTAGTATAGTCATTGCTGGACTTAAACTTACTAAAATAGGCGACTTCCAAGAAGTCAGCAGAAATGAGAGACCGTAACGTTTGTGCTGATGCGACCTCTAGTTGCAGTACCTCTGAAGGAACGAAGACAAAACAAGGGAAGACCGTGAAAATAAAGATACTTATCGGATGAGCAGAGAGTAAGAAAATACTGTTCAAAAAGAGTTTAACATCCAAAGAAGAATGCTACGTTAATTTGCAATCACTATATAAAAAGTTTGAATCGAAAGTTGAGTGAAGAACGGAGAAAAATCGGAACAGAATCAAAGTAGAAAAAGCAGAAAAACAGATGTGGCTGTGAAAAGTTTAAGAAAGCACTCTGCCAGTTCACTGGAACCAGGAACAAGGAGGATGATTACGCTCGAAGTACTCATTGCAGGAATGAAGGTTTCGCAGAGCAGCTGGCCAGGAGAAAAGTTGAAAACCGTTCTTGACCATTTCAGGAGGATGCCGTGGAGGAGATGGTCTTTACATCGAAAAAAAAATCCCTTTGTATGGTCTTCTGTGTCCCGAAGAGTTTTGGTATACTAGCAGGTACAGGATTACAGGAAGAGTACAGGACTGCAAAATTACAAAAGCCTTACAAGATTACATTCATTCCAAGGCATTAAAAGATATTGCAATGCTATCTTTTCAAAAATACAAGAATTTTCGCTATGAAAGCGCTATAACTTTGAATTTTATCTTCAGATCGACTAAAGAAAGTGAATGTATAAATAGTCTTTACAAGACAAAAAATTCGAAAATTCGCCAAGTGAAAAAAAGCGCAAAAAATTACCTCTTTATGGAAGATATATAAAAAGTGCAGCCTGAAATAAAAATCCTAATTGAAAACTGTTTTTACCAAAATTATTTTTTAAACTGTTTGCTTTCGTTCGAAGTTGCTCGCAGAAAAAGATAAAATATGTTTATAG